ACTGATAGGTATGTGGTGATTCCTGCATTTAGTTGTCTTAGTTGTTTGAAGGTTTGATTGTTGTACCTAACTTGATGTTACTCTTGCTTTTTCTTTCCTGTGGTTTGGTGCTGCCTGCCTTTTCATGGTTAAGTTGGTGTCACTTTCTGTGTGCAGGATCCCTTGCAGAATCTTTTGTAATGGTGGCTTTGTGGTCACATATTGTTTTAGTTTCTGCTTATCATGGAAGACTTTTATTGCTCCATCTATTTTGAATGATAGTTTGCTGGGTAGAGTATCCTGGGGTTGAAGTTATTTTCATTCAGTGCCCGGAAGATCTCACCCCACGCTCTTCTTGCTTTTAATGTTTCTGTTGAGAAGTCTGCTGTGATTTTGATGGGTTTACCTTTGTATGTTACTTGTTTTTTCTCTCTTACAGCCTTCAATATTCTTTCCTTAGTTTCTGAACTTGTTGTTTTAATGATGATATGTCGTGGGTAGTTCTATTTTGATCTGGTCTGTTTGGTGTCCTGGAGGCCTCTTGCATCTGTATGGGAATATCTTTCTCTAGATTTGGGAAATTTTCCGTTATTATTTTGTTGAATATTTACGCATTCCCTTCGCTTGCACCTCTTCTTTCTTCGATGCCCATGATTCTCAAGTTTGGTCTTTTGATGGAGTCAGTGAGTTCTTGCATTTTCTTTTCACAGGTCTTGAGTTGTTTAATTAATAGTTCTTCGGTTTTTCCTTTAATTACCATTTCATCTTCAAGTACTGAGATTCTGTCTTCTGTTTGTTCTATTCTGCTGGATTGGCCTTCCGTTTTGTTTTGCAGTTCTGTTTCGTTCTTTTTTCTGAGGTTTTCCATATCCTGGCTGTTTTCCTCTTTAATGTCTATTTTTGTCCTGAGTTCATTTAACCATTTATTCATTATGTTCTTCTTTCACTTTGGTGTTTATACAGTGCTTCTATGGTTTCCTTTATTTCTTCTTTTGCTTTTTCAAATTCTCTATTTTTTTGTCTTGGAATTTCTTGAGTGTCTCCTGTACATTTTGGTTGACCCTATCCAGTATCATCTCTATAAAATTCTCATTGAGTACTTGTAGTATGTCTTCTTTTAAATTATTCTTGTGGGCTTCATTGGGTCCTTTGGCATAGTTTATCTTCATTTTGTTGGAGTCTGGATCTGAGTTTCTGTTCTCTTCATTCCCCTCTGGTTCCTGTACTAATTTTTTGCTGTGGGGAAACTGGTTTCCCTGTTTTTTCTGTCTTCCTGTCATTGTCCTTGGTGTTGTTACTGTCCCTGTACTGTGTGCAATTAAGTATTTTCTAGCTTGTAATAATAACAATGGTAATATTTAGAATGGAAGGGTGAGCTGAGATGGAAAGCAAGAAGTTAAAGAAAAGGGGAAAACAAATATACAGACAAGAGGGAGAAAGCAGAACAAGGTATCAGACAAGAGAGTTTCAAAGGTATAAACAGGGAGTGTTAGTGTACTAATCGACAGTAAGCTGAACAGACATTAGAGACAGAGAGAGGATTGAAAATCAAAGATAAAAAAAATACAACATAAGTAAATGAAAGAATATCTATATATAAAAATGAATTAAAATAAAATGGAAAGTAGAAAATTTAAAAAAAAAAAAAAAAAAAAAAACTTCCAAGTTTATATGCAATGCAGTTTCAGTCTTAATAATTTGGGTGTCTGTCTCAATCTCCAGTCCTGGAGTTGGTGCCTCAGATGTTGTTCTGTAGTTGTCTCATCAAAGGGGATGCATAAAGTAGAACAAAACTACACACTCACACACACACACACACAAACAAAAGCCCCACCCAAGTGTCCCCAGTTCAAATGCAATACAGTTTCAGTAAGTTTTTTGGCTTGCAGGTGTAATTCGGTTGTTCTCTCATCAAAGGTAGGGAGAAAAAGAAAAAAAGCGTCTGGAGGCAGTTCTGAGAGTGGTATCTGCAACTGTGGCTTGCCTGCCTGCTGCTCTCAGCCTGTAGCTGGTGGCGTTATTTATGCAGATCTCTGGGGTGAGCTTAGCACTCACCTGGTCCCACAGGCTTTGTTTGCTCAGAGTTCTCCTGTGCGGGGAGGGGGGCCTCTGCTACAGGCTTTTCCCTTTCCAAGCACTGGGAAAGGCGACACTGCCCCGCGTTGTCAGGCCTGCGTGTTTATTTACAGTTCACGTGGGAAGTGGGTCTTCCCTCCCTCACAAGCGTCCCGCTCCTGGTTGCTGGCGCCCCCGCTCCCGCCAGAGCCTCTCCGGCCCCCCGGCTCGTTTATTTACAGTCCCGGGAAGGATTCCCTTCCCCCAATCTTCAGCGCCCAGGGCGCCCCACCCTCTTTCCAGCGTGTCTTGACTGTTCTTATTGCTTAGTACTCAGTTTCTCTTTTTTCCCCGGGTGGAGGTCAGTCTGTCCAGGGGGCTATGCTGCTCTGGCCCAGGCTTGTCTGTGGGGAACCGCGGTACCGCGAAGCTCACCTGGTCCGCGTCTTCCCAAGCCCTATGGGCGCCGGCCACTGGCGGCCCCGGGGGCCTCCTCGGTTCTCCATTTAACGTGAAGTGGAGATTCTCTGGGCCGGCTGGAGGTGTGGAGGGGTCAAAGTTATGCCTTTTCTCGGTGATTATGCCTGCAAAGTGTGTCTCCAGCGTCTCTCCAAGATTTCACTATAGGAGGCTCGCTTTCTGCTTCCTACCTCTAGCCGCCATCTTGTTATCTGCCCTTGTTTTGTTTTTGTTTTTGTTTTTTAACAACAATGCAAAGGCAACTAGTGGAGAAAGGTTATCACAGACTGAGACACTCAAGTTCATTGTCTAGATGACACCTCTTATCCTCTTACTCTCAGGTAAAACTGATATACTTCCTATTGGTGCCCATACATAGAGTGATTTAATCATGAAAAAATAAGACTCCTGTGGGGAAAGTGGCACTTACTAAGGAACTTTAGAAATGATTTTTTCATGTGTTAAATGTGCTATTAAAGGACTTTAAGGGAAAATGCCACATTGATGAGGATTGGCTGGACATGCTGTGTGCAGGTGTGAATGCTGAGACTTAGTTTCTTTACCTCTAAAGCTAGAGGGCTGAATTAGGTTAAACTCACAGGTGCTTCTGTCTCCAACCATCTCTTTGTATAGGAGCTTGTGTATGTGGAAGAATGTAAACAGATACCTGTTAGAAGAAAGCGTTCACAAAATATGGTAGTAAAATGGCAAATGTACTTTCCTCTTTCTTTGCAGGGTTTTTTCTTTTCTTTTTTTTCCATTCCCTCTCCTCTCTTCCCCTCCCCTCTTCTTTTCTCTATTCTCCCCTCCTCTCCCTTTCCCTTTCCCCTTTTCTTTCATTTCCTTTTTCCCTTCCCTTCTCTTTCCTTCCTCTCTCCCTTCTCCTACCCATCCCCCTTCCCTTTTCCTTTCCTCTTTCCTTATTCCAGATGGCAAGAATAGCAGATTTATTGACAATTTTTATATATGTAAGAAAGAAGCAACAACTTACAGACTCAAGTTTATTGCTTAGAAAACCATCAGATTTTAATGCTGAAACTGAAAGGACACTTTCAAAATGTGTGAAAAATACTACTTTTTGTTTGTTTAAATATTCTGGTAATTTTTCTCTGCATTTTTGTCACTATAGTAGTTTAATTAAGTACTTACTTTGATAATTTTTAAACCATTTGTTTAAAAATTTTTTGAATGTGAAAAATGAGCTATCACCCAGCCTTACTCATTTCATGGTCTTGCCAGCTTCTTTCAACTGTCTTCCTAATTCCTTCCTTATCCCAGTTCACATAATTCCACTGTGAATTCTTCACTTTGTATCCATAGTAGATAAAGACATTAAAAAAAATAAAATAACCATAAGACCATGATCACACCTAAGGGAAATAAGAACTATTCCTTAATTTCATCTAATTCCAGGACTTTGTTCAATTTCTCCAATTGACTAAGAAATGTTTTTTTAAAAAAAACAGTTGTCTTATTTAAGACAGGATCAAAACAAGGTCTACTATTGCATTTGGCTGATGTTTCTAAATTTCCTCTTCCAAGAAATTGAATCACTTGTGTTATAGAATTTACATCATTCTGGAGTGAGCTGATGTCTCCTTTTTAAGTTCAACTCCCACTCCCCTCCTTTTTCCCCTAAGATATTCATTTCTTGAATAAGCCAGATTATTTTGCCTGAAGAATTTACCACATTTTGGATTTAGTGGACTGCATCCTTACAGTGATGTTTAACATGTTTCTCTGGACCTCTTCTTTTCTATCAGCCATCCAGGGACACATTCAGAATCTGTTGAAAGGAAAGGATTGTTTCCCTAGAAAATAGCAAATGTAGATGTGTGCATACACCATACACACACACCACACACACCACAACACACACCACACACACACCACAAATATTGCCCTATAATTTTAGAGGCTTCATACATCCTCTGTGGTCACAGAACTTAAGTTGAAATGTCCTGGTAGAGGCTGGTGGGGCCACGACTTCTTTCGCATAGATCAGAAGGCCTATAATGATTCTCTCATCCCATTATCAGATTGCTACTGCTAGCTTTATCCTTTCATTGTAAGTTCCCTATCAGCCTTTCACCTAATGGTTTAAGCAGCCATCAGTTATCATTGCTTAGAATGAGTCTTGTTTTTAACCAAGTTGAAAATGGTAATTTTTTAATACTATTAAGAATTTTTCTCTACCAACTGTTAAGTTACTCTCAATACAATGTGTACCAGAAGAGTGTGCTTCTTATTTGGAATACTTTTGAGTCCTTGTAGAAATAGGAGTTGACAAACAATGACCACTAGAAAACAGTAAGCGTTAGAAACTTGTTTCTGCTTTTCCTTTTGCTAAGATAACAAAGGCAAATGGGTTAGAGACTTGAAAACTTTCCTGTAACCTGCCTAACTTAACAGAGTCAAGAACACTGAAGGATCATGATTTTTATGTTTTGCATCACCATGTTTGCCATTCAAAAATAAATATGTACACTGTCTTTGCTATAGAGAACATGCCAACAAAGAACGTGTGGGACTCAGTAAAGAAAACTTACTGCTTAGAGGATGCACCATTAGAAACACAGAGGCTGTTGTGGGCATTGTGGTTTACGCAGGTTGGTTATACTTCTATTTTTCATCTTCGTTTCCTCTGTGCTATTCTTCAAGTTAACATTTTTCATTTACTCAAAATGCAGTCCACAGAAGCAGAAAGTAAACTTTGTCTTTATAAATTTAATCATTGGTATTGGTTTTTCTAGTGGGTCACAAAAGCAGACTAAACTAACAAAATACATTATGTAACTATGTTTTATTAATTTATCTGCCAGAGATATTTTTTGAATGTGACATTTGCTACCTCGTTTTAATTTGTACATTTTTTTGACATTCTGTTTCCTACATAGGCCATGAAACCAAAGCAAATGCTGAACAACAGTGGGCCACGATACAAACGCAGTAAATTGGAAAGAAGAGCAAATACAGATGTCCTCTGGTGTGTCCTGCTTCTGCTTGTCATGTGTCTAACTGGTGCATTGGGTAGGTGAAATCTGATTATTTGCTAATATATTTTCACCAAGATACTGAGGGTTTTTTTTTTTCCTTCAAAATGCTGTATATGAATGTTGGGTTCTCTGTAAAGGAAGATTTTATTTGTCAATATTTTTTTCCTGTGTCCTTATCTCTTTATCCTTTAGCCAGGAAAACATAAATGTTGACTTTGCCTACTTACACTTTGCCAGAGTTGTGAAGGAAGTTGGAAGGGCTGAGAGAGAGAGAGAGAGACTTTGAATTTGAACCTGTTTCCAAAACAAGTAATTGGTATTCAACAACAATGACTGTTCTCCCCCTCCTTCTTGAGGAATAAAGTTCTGCATTTGCATGTTTAATATGCATATAGTATTCTTTTACTGTTTGTATGTTTTTTGGAAGGTCATGGGATCTGGTTGAGCAAATATGAAAATGTGCTGTTTTTTAATATCCCTGATCTTGATGGACATGTCATATCACCAGTGTTGGCAGGATTCTATATGTTTTGGACCATGATCATTCTGTTACAGGTAATTTCCTTCAAGCTTATCATGGAATTTTAAGCTCTTTGCTCCTTATTCAGCTACATTCCACTGTATTCACTTTCTCTAATCTACTTTCACATTTTTTAAATTATTTCTTTTTAGGTCTTGATTCCTATTTCTCTCTATGTGTCTATTGAAATTGTGAAGCTTGGCCAGATATATTTCATTCAAAGTGACATGGACTTCTACAATGAGAAAACGGATTCCACTGTTCAGTGCCGAGCCCTGAACATTGCTGAGGATCTTGGGCAGATTCAGTACCTCTTTTCTGATAAGACAGGGACCCTCACTGAGAATAAGATGGTTTTTCGAAGGTGCACTGTGGCAGGATTTGATTATTGCCATGAAGAAAATGGTGAGTGTTGGGTTTCTGCAAAAGCCACCTGCAAAATTTGCCTTATTATTATTATTTTTTTTTTGCAACCACTTAAATGCCTGATAATTCTGGCATGGAAGTGCTATAATTAAAATATTGGGTCCTTCATTCATCTAAATGGATGAAGATTCATCTAAATGGGGTTAAAATTTTTCAGACACTAAGTGACATGCTACTAATTGATACAATGCTGCAAACAGTAAATGATAAACAGATACTACATGATACAATGGCACAGATACTCAGTCTGTTTTGTTTATCACTGTATCTTTTATTTGTATCATTTGGTATAATTTAATATTTCTGTCATATAGTATTTGTATCATACAATTTAATGTTTGTACCATATTCACATTTATATTTTTACAAATTTACAGTGTTTGTAGCATTTAGTATTGTATCATATAGTACTTGTATCATTGTACTGCTCTGTATTATCATTGGTTAGTCTAATATAAATATGTGCTTGACAGAATAAAAAAGTATGTGAAAGTCAAGGAGTCTGTGGCCATGGATTCTTTAAAAGTAAAGTAAATTCCTAGTGGCTGTAGAAGGTAGGAATTGGGGAAGGTAAATGACATTGCAATGTAGATATATTCAAGGGCCTAATGAAACTGGACTAAGTCACTGTAAAATATTTTGAAAACAATTCTAAAAGGACTCTAGCTTCCTCTTATCTCATCAGTTTGCTTCTAGATAGCCACTGATTCATGATTAAAAACAAATAATTTAAGAATTAGTAAGATGAGCTGAACTTCTGCCTTGAAGGAAGTAAAATTTAAAATTCCAAGTGTTCTTTGAAGAATTGCACTTCATTGAATTTGTTCTTATAAAGTAAGATGTGCTCCTGTGAAGATGATTCAGAGAAGCAAATTTTCAAAATTAATTAAAGCCCTACTCAAGGTCAACCACCATTAACAACTGGTGATCATACATGATAATCCATTTCTTTATGCATGCTTCCCTATATGTGAACATGTGTTTACATATTTCCCCTGTTATGAGTTAGAGCATATTGTAGTACTATCTTGCATTTTATTTCCTTTACTCAACAAAGTCTTAAGGATTTTTTTCTAAGTCAATTCATAACAATATGAAGAGCATAATCTTCTACTGTATGTGGCCAAGCCTAGTTTGTTGTGCTTAGTGGTGGCCACATTTTAGCTGTCATAGGTTGGGTATCCTTTATCTAAAATGTTTGGAATCAGAAGTATTTCAGATTTGGCAGGGGAGATAATTATGAGCTATCTTGGGAATGGACACAATTCTAAACATGAAATTCTTTTATTTTTTCTGTGTATCTTATACACATAGCCTGAAAGCAAATTTATACAATATCTTAATAATTTTGTATATGACACCAAGTTTCATGGTATGAAATTTTCTCCTTGTGGTGTCATATTAATGCTCAAAATTTTCAGATTTTGGAGCAATTTGAATTTTGGATTTCAGATTAGGGATGTTCATCCTGTACTTTCTAAGAGTATCTGAAGTAAACATTACTCGTTCATTCAACAAATATTTTTGACCTCGTAGTATATGGTATGAATCCATGATTTCATGTAGCTCAGAGTTAAGTGCAACAAGATAGACAAACATGATTAAAAATTATAATAGATAAATAAAAGAAAATTCAGGATGCAGTATTCATTCCTGGTACAGATAGATAGATATAGATAGATAGATAGATAGATAGATAGATAGACAGCGATAGATAATTTATGTTCCCACAACCCAGAAAAAATAATGCCTGCTTTTGGTACCCAATGATAGTGGGATAAATTATACTTTTAATGTGCATGTTTTTATAGATAAGGTTAACACTTCATTGTCTTAGTTTGTCTCTGATAAATAGATGCTTAACATTTTATATTTATTGGTCATTTCAGTTTCCTGTGCTCTGTTCCTGTTTTTAAAATAAGCTCTCCTTATCCTTAGTAACCCATAGGAGAGTTTTCTCTATTAAGAGCAGAGTTGATGTTGGCTTGTAAACCCAGTCTAGGCTGTTTGTGGACAGCATTCATTTTCCTTTTCAACACTGTTTTGAACCAGTTGTTAAATAATTTGAAATATCAACCTTAATGTTATGTTACCCTTTTCTTCTTAACACGGGCAAATATGTTTTACCATTTATCACTGCATTCTCTATTTCTGCATAACAAATCACCAAAACTTAGCTGATTAAAGTGGGACAAACACGGTATACCTTGTTGTGGTTTTTCTGGTCAGGAGCTAGGATACAGACAAGTACTCAGGGTCTCTCAACAGGCTGAAGAATCCAGGTGTCAGCTGAGGCTGTGATCTGATCTTGTCCTCTTCTTAGAGCACTGGTATCTGGCAGAGTCAGTGTCTTGAGGTTGTAGGACTACAGGTTCCTGCTTTTTTGCTGGCTGTCATGCAAGAACTGTTCACAGCTCCCAGAGGTTACCCACCATTTCCTGCCACGTGCTGTCTCCTCAGCATAGCAATTTGCTTCTGCAAGACTAGCAGTGGACTGTCTCACTTTGGATCTGACTTCAGGGAAATCTTAAGTCGTTTCTTTACAAGGCTAGCTTGATGAGGGTGGGTTCATTTAACACAATCTTCTAGATTAATTGACACTGGATTAATTAGGTCCTTCAGGGTATCTGTAAAACCCCTCTGCCTTTGCCATAGAGCTTAATTCAATCAAGCAGCTGTGAAATCCCATCATATTTACAAGGTGTGTAAATACAATATATTTTCTCTTCTTTATAGTAGTTTATTATAAAAGTAATATAGAAAATTCAGAAAACTCAAGAGATGAAAATTTAAAAGCCACCAATGACTCCCTTCAAACAGTGGATGCTCATTAGCATTTTAGCACACTGTTTGATTCCAGGATTACATTCAAGATGCCAACAACAGCAGGCATGTTTTCAGGTTTCCCTTCTTTTTGATTCAGGGAACAGTTTTGAGGGATACTATTCTGGGATTTTGTAGAATGCCCCTCAATTTGTAATTGTCTGGAACTGCATTTATGATGCGCAATTTGTGAGTCTGTCATACACAGAGCAGCTTGAGCACTTTCCAAGAATAAGGATTTTGGAGTCATGCCTCCTGAGCCTGAATCCCATTTCCATTACCTGTAAACTGTGTGACTCTGGGCAGGCTGTCTAATTTCTTTAAGCCTTAATTTTAAAAAAGGATCAATTATGATCTCTCGTTCCATCTTTTTTTTGTTGCAAATGACATTGTTTAATTATTTTTATGACTGAATAATACTCCATTTTGTGTGTACCAATTTTCTTTATTATTCATCCACGTTTTCTCTCATATGTGGAATCTAGACCTTAAAAAATTAATGACAGGAATATAAAGTAAGGACTGTTTTGGGGTAGGAACCAGTAGGAGGAGGGAGGGTAAAAGGAGAGAGTAAAGGGAAGGTGAACATGAGCAAAGTACTTCATACACATGTGTGAAAATAAAATAATGAAACCCATTAAAATTGCTTTTAAAAGGGAGAAAGGGAGATAAGAAAGAGTGCTCGAGGGGGTTAATTTGATCAAAGTACCTGGTATGCATGCATAGAAACATCACAATGAAACCTCTGTTTACAATTAACATACACTAAAAAAAAGGATCAATGATAGTCATCCACTTCATTGAGGGTTAAGGAGATGGAACAAGATAATTTATGGAAAGGCACCAGGAACAGAGCAGGGCACAGAATGAGTTCCCCTTAAGTACTAGCTACTATTCTTATTTTTGTAATTACAGTTGCTAAAATAAGAAATAGGTCTTTCTCTTAAGGAGCTCATAGTCCAATGTGGTAGGCAGATATGTAAATATAAATTCACTATGTTAATTGTAAGATTAAAGTCAATATTTGCATACTGCTTTAATTTTTCAGGCAGTCAATTTTGAAGGTGGATTTTGCACAGATAAAGGTTAGATATTTGAAGGCAGGATTTCAGATCTCCTTGGAATGCTGGAAGTGAATGGAGAATTAGTTTAGAACAAGAACCTTGGGTATCAATAATATGTAGATGATGTGATTGGAAGAAGCTTAGCTGAATGTGCTGGGGTTTTTTTTGTTGTTTGGTTTGGATTTTTGTGGTACTCAGGGCTTGTACCTTGAGCCAGTCCACCAGCCCTTTTTTGTGATGGACTTTTTCAAGAAAGGGTCTCACAAATTATTTGCCTGGGCTGGCTTCGAACCTCAATCCTTCTGCTCTTCTGGCCTCCTGTATGGCTAGGACTACAGACATGAGCCTGGCATCCAGCTGAGTGTGCTGTTTCTAGGTAAGTGAAAGTTGGAATGCTGGAGATGTTTGGAAAGTTAGTTCTTAGGGGAAGGTTCAATGGAGGATATACAGATGATACAGTTGAAGGAAGCTCATTTCAGTGTGGTGTTTGTGACCTCTTTGGGGCCATTCAAGGAACTGTGTCAGGTCCACTTCTTCTGGACATCCAGTCAATTCAAGCAATAGACCATGAATAGGTTTTGGGATATTTCAGGAGGGAATGGGAAAAGAAAACAGATTAGAAATTAATTAGGAAAAGAAATAAAATAGATCATTTGATACCTAACCCAGGATATACCTTTAGATACAGAAAATATTACATACATTTTTGTTTCCTCTTGGGAGTCAGAAAGAAATCCTGGCTCACTTTCAGGCATTCATAGGACTAATTAGAATCTGCCTTAAGAGAAGTATTGAAAGTCTTCATTGCCTTCGGATGTTTTGATTATCAATGTGATTATAAACCTTGGCTTTTGTAAAATTTTCACTGAGTCTGGAATACAGCTGCTGTGCTCTGTTTTCTGAATCATTTTGTAACTTTCACGGCTAATATATTTCTCACAGCTTTCCACAAAATGATTAAAGGTTGAGTCAGTCTTTGTCTTCTTGGTTCTACTCTTGCAGTTCTACTTGTTGAGAAATGTTGTCCTACAATAATAGCTGAGCCACCTGGCATTGTACTCAATACACAATGGTGTGGTGGTTGATTTCCCTAGTGATGGCTAAGAGAAGTTGTGTTATCGATGGCTATTGTCTTCATTTATGTAGATTTTGAATATTCTGTTTATGTTTGCAATGGCATTACATCATCAATAAGTTGCTTAAGGACTCATGGTTCTCACCCTTATTATTGGGACTGGATTGTTCTTTGTTTTGGGGGCTGCCCTGTGTATTGCAAGGTGTTTAGACATATCCTTGGCCTCTACCCAAAGAACGCCAGTAGCATCCCTCCCCCATTTATAACAACCAAAGTGTGTACAGCCATTCCAAAAGTCCCCCGCAGAAAAATCTACTCCATATCAAGAAACATTGAGCAACCCTGAAATATACAAGTAAAAGCTAAGGAGCTATGGTGTAGTGGACACACATACTGGCCTTAGAATCAGGAAGGCCTAAATTCAAATCCAGCTCTACTTCCAGTTGGTGTTTAGCCATGTTGAAGTTCTTAATCTCTATGGGTCTTAATTTTCTCAGCTACAAGAGGGAAGCAGTGATAATGCCTACCTGATGACATTACTTTGAAGATATGTATACATTATACATACATATATATGCAAATGCATGAATAAATATGACCTAGCCAGATTCCTGATAGAAAAACTTAATAAGTGTAAGTCCCTCCTCCACAACTTTCCTTAATGCTAGAGATATTTCATTCACATATCTATTTATTCATTAAATAAATATTTATTTAAGCTACAAATGGATTTATTGAAATCAGACAGGGGAGATTAGCCATGTAAAAATCAAGGGAGATTGTCCATGTGTTAAAATTGGCCCAGGCTAACATGCATGGTTATACTTAGAAATGGTACAGGACAGTATAGCATTAAGACTCAGAGAACTGGCTGTGGAGTCCTGTTGACCTGGTTTAAGACTAATCTGCACCACTTTTGTGAGGTAGGACAAATTATTTAAGTTTGTTTCTTTCTTTCTAAAATGGTGATATCAATAATAAGTACTCAGAGTAATGTCATAATGATTGAATGAAACAAATGTCTGCTGTATGGCAGCATTCAGCCCATGAAGGCTATACATGTCCCATGAGTGATGTGAATGAGAAATGATACAGTTACAAAGGTCTTCACTGAAGGTCTTGCATTTGAATCAAGCCTTTGAAGATGTTTAGAATTTGTTAGTAGAAAAGACAAAAGTAAGGACTGAGTATATAGCTGAGTGGTAGAGCTATATTCAAAATCTTAGGTTTAATTCCCTGAACTGGGGGGTCGGTAAGAATGGGTATTCAAAATAAGGGCATAGTAAGAATGGAGGAGGTCAGAACCTTTGGAAAGACACAATTGGTGGATCTGTTTTGAAGCTAAAAGATCACATAAGGATACATTCTTTATTATTTAGGCAGAAAATATGATGAGAATTACGGAATTTGAAGGGAGCCTAGAGTCCCTGAACCTAAATTGTACTTTCTAAAATGTTTGATTTTGAAAACAGAGGACCAGAAAGAGTGAGTGTTTTGTTGAAAGTCACTTAGTATTTGGAAGAGTTGATACTAGAACTGAGGATCCTAATATTGCCTCTTAGCCTTTCTTGCCTTAAGAAATATGGAAAATTAGTATAGAGAGAATGTGAGAACATACTTGTTTTATCAAATAACTTGGCCAGAGCCATACTTTATTCAGTAACTAGGCTTTGAATAGATTATCAGCAACCCAGTAAGCACAGTTATTGTCAACTCTGTATTCCAGATACTGGTTATTAAAATAAGCAAGACAGACAAGGTTCTTACTCACACAAATATACTCTTCAAGCTCCTATTGAAGAAATCATCACAAACATCCATTTTTAAATCAAGGAAAAGATTAAGTAGTGATCAGGACTTTACAAAGAATTAAAGTAGGATGGTATCATATAGAGGGATTGGATGGTTACTTTGTGTTAGGTGGCCATGCAAAGACCTCTGTAAGTGGAACACTTGAGATGAGCTGAATGACATAACTTGAAATTCAAGGACACAGCTCAAGCAACTGTTTTAGAGACCCCGAGTTGTAGTGAGCTTGTAAATTTACTTTTCTTTTTCTTTTTTACTACATTATTGTTTTACTGGGTTGCACTGTTATTTTTGCAAAAGTTCTTATAATATATTAGTTGAATTCACCCCTTCATCATTCTACTTTATCTCCCCCTTCCTCTTTCCTGGAATAGTTTCAACATGTCTCATTTTTCCATTTTCATACATGAATACATAATATTTCCGCTACATTTAACTTCCTTCACCCTTTCCTTATATCCTCCCCCTCCCACTGGTACCAGCCCCTAAATAGGACCTATTTTACCTTCCTTTTCTCCATTTTTTGGAAAAAGATATTTTTGTTTGTTTAAGATAGCTCTATAGAAAGTTTCCTTGTGACATTTCCATGTATATATGTATTTAACTAAACAGGTTCATGCCTCTATTTTTCTCCTTTCTTAGGCCCCTTCTAATGGTGATTTCAGCAGTTTTAAAAATTCTGTATTCATTCTTGTATAGAAAATGCATCAAGCATACTCACCTTCTTAACTTCCTTCTTTTACCCTCCCTCTCCTGTTAGTGACCTCCCCTTAGCATAACCTGTTTTTTCATAATATTGCTTATATTTGTATTGTGTCTATCTCCAACATATGAGAGAAAACATGTGACCTTTAGCTTGTAAATTTTCAAAGTAAAGAAAAGGCCAGTGAGTTAAATTCCAGTGGGAATATAGGAAAAAAAGGGCAAGAAAGTAGAGAGGTCAGATTATTTTGATGCCAGATTTTCTAAGGGAATTGTGAAGCAACTGGAGGGTTTTATGCAAGAAGTGATCTGATCAACAATATCTTTTAGGCAGATACCTCTAGCTACTATTTGAGGAATACATTGCAAAGGGCAAACAGACAAAGCTATGATGCTATTTCACTAGCCCAGTGGAGAGAAAATGATGACTTGGATTAAGGTAATGGAAATGGAAAAAAAAAGCCTAGATAGTCAGGATATATTTTGGATATGTATAGTGGAAGGTGTTGGTGGTATTCTGTATGTGGGAAGAAGAGAGGAATCAAGTAGAATTCTAGATTTTTGTCTTGAGTAACTAGATAGATTGTTTAGTGCCATTCATAAAGATGGAACGACCAGAGAAAAGGTTGAGGAGAAAGAAGGAAAGAATGCTGTTCTAACCATGTTAAATTTAAGATTACTATTGTTTATTTATCAACAAGTATTTATTGATACCTAGCAGTCACTACTTTGGACTGTAAGAGAATTATATTTAAAAACAAAAAGTATCTGCCTTTATTGAAGTTTATATTCTACTGGATGATTCAAAAATAAAGAGTTTAGATAATGATAAGTTCTGGAGTAGCATCTATAATAAATAATGTGATCTAACCTGGGAAGTCTTTACAGACAAGGGTGCTTGACACGAAACCTAAAAAGGGAAGGGAGTGAGCCATGCAGGTATGTGTTGGAAGAGCCTTGTAGTCATCTAAGTGGCGGTGTCAAGTAGAGAGTTGAATACATGAGCCCAGATTCCAGTGAGAGGTCAGAGTTGAAGACACAGGTTTTAAGGTTATATGTACAAACATACTGTTTCAAAGAAGGCACCAGATGAGATCACCAAAGAAGAATATGTAAGTGGGGAAGGAAGTGGCTCTTGATACTCTCCGGTAACAGAGAAAAGAAGAAGGATAGGTGGAGAAACTAAGCAGGAACCCATTGAGGTAGGAGGGAAGACAGAGAAGTTTGGTGTCAGAGAAGCCAAAAGGAACATTTAAAGAAAGAAAGAATGGTCAACTGTTCAATATTACTAAATGTTTCAATGAGATAAGGACAGATATATATGGTCATTGAACTTGGTAACATGGATTTATTGGTGACCTTGAAAGACTAGTATCAGTGGAGAGATGTGGGCAGAAAGTCCTAAAATTGGTTGAGAAGAGATTGATAAGTGGAAGAGGAAGAATTCAAAGATGAAGTCATTGAGGAATCCAGAGGGCAGAACTATCAAAATAGGGGGATTGGCATTTGAAATAAGGAGAAATGTTTTCTCCATAGTAGTAGGACAGAAAGCAAAGAGTATGGAGACGCAGATAAGGTGTTAGATTTGATGCTGGATAAAGAAGGGTGTTCCATCTGATTGTACCTAGTTTCTCAAGACATGGGGTAAATGCATTAACTAAGAATACAAATGGGGATTTGGAGGCCAGATTTGAAAGAGGAAAAAGAAGATGGTGTGAAATGGCTATTTAAGTAACTGCCAGACATATTCAACTTGTAAGTTGTTCCTCTCAGATGGTGACTAAGTGTGACTTTTATCCTTCAGCCAAAAGGCTAGAGTCCTATCAGGAAACTGTCTCTGAAGATGAGGATTGTGCAGATACTCTGAGTGGATCCCTCAGCAATGGCAAACCAAGAGCCCACAGCTGCAGGACAGTTCACAATGGACCTTTGGGGAGCAAGCCTCAATCAGCTTTCTGGAAGCACTTTGCAATAGGAAGTGGAAAGGAGCCAGTGAAGTGCCTCATTCTAGACAGGCTGCTTTCAGTAGCCCCATCGTAAGTATGAATGCATGTCCAGAATCTTGCACATCCACCATGTGTAATGAAAGAACACATTCAGTTGCAATAGAGTCAAATAATACTGTCTTCTGTCAGAGAAGAGATCACATAATTACAGTTCAGCATGTTTGTGACACACAATAAGTATAAACAACAATACCACAATTTTCTAATTTTTGAAAACCCAATGCTGAAAAGTCAGGTGCCATTTATAAAAAATATAATTCTTATCAGGGCTATCATGTCTGACCTGAAAGGCTTTGCCTTGATTTAAGGATCATGGCTCACTTTCAGAACCAAAGTTATTGGAGTTATCTCAGAGAGAGGTAAATATAGGTAATTGATAGGTAAATTTGCAGGCTTTTTGGTGTCCTTAAAGATATTTATAACTCTGTAATCTTCCTCATATTTTCACGAGGCAGGTCCCTTTCTCATTTCATACCATTTTTAGAGCACAACAGGATGTGTATTTGAGGCCCAGTAGGAAGTTTTAGGAACTGACACTAGTTTTCCATTAACAACCCATTTTACTACATTTAAAACAGTAAGATGTTGTGCAAATGAATTAGAAAATAAAGTTTACTGACTTAAAATTCTTCTAATAAATTTTCACACTTCATTAACATTTGTGTTTTACCAAGATGGAGGATTGGCCCAGGCAGGAAACAACAACTCCAAATTAGTTGACATTACAAGAATAAATAACTTTGGGAAGCTTTGTGTTGCTACATTGAGGAGTCTTAAAGAAGACCTTGAGGTAGAACTCTTGGCTCTTTTGCAACTTGCCAACAAATGCAGTTGTTGAGCCTGCGTTGCAGCAACTG